CATATAATTATTGTGAATGCTTGAAGTACTAATATGAACTACGAATGGCTTGATCCCTGTTTAGGGTACGTAGGCAGTCTAACGAGACATTAGATGTAACCATAATATATTTGAGACAAAAGCCTTATTTGGGAAATTGAGCAATGCGAAGGAAATTGGTAAAGGCAAGTTTTAGTTTTGTGAATTAGTTAGTTAAATTAGTGTTAATTGGGTTGTCATGGATAATTATCCCTGAAAATAAGTAGTTCAGGAGTAGGGCGTTATTGATTGTACATTTCACACCGTATTGTATATAATTGAAAATGCTACGACATGGTTGAGTATTAGATTGCATCATGGTATATCCATATGTATATTACTTGCACATAATTATTGGGAATGCTTTCAAGTGCAAAGGTGAACGCAGGACACCCAGGTAAGTTCAGGTGAGTTTATGGTATTAGTTGAATCAATGGAGTTATAGCATGACTACATTTATGTGTTAGGCAACTCTGATACTGTCGTACTGGTTGCCATGAGTTGTACATGTTATATTGAGATGCATAGAGAGCTCATAACCTGCACCCCCGGTGTTAGTGCTCCCGCCCAGAGTTGGGCACAGTCCTTCACGTGATGTTCACCTCCCGCACCTTACGCTCACCTTGGACTAAGGTAGGTGCACAAGCTTGTCGTACAGACCACTATAAGTGGTTCCGACTCGTAGGTGACCCGCGATTATTCGCCCAGTCTTCACGTGATCATAGCACTTGAGCGTACTTATTACACCCAGTCCTGTCGTACAGACCACTAGAGGTGATTCCGACTCGTGTGCAGGGATGTTTGATGAGCTATAGATTAAGTCATATAGGTCACTATAGGTGACTCCCGACTTGTATACTAGTATTGATTGATGAGATATGGATACCTGCACCCTGGTGTTAGTGCTCCCGCCCGTGGTCAGGGCACAGTCCTTCACGTGATGTTCACCTCTCGCACCTTACGCTCACCTTGGACTCAAGGTAGGTGCACAGGCCTGTCGTACAGACCACTATAGGTGGTTCTAACTCGTAGGTGACCCGCGATTATTCGCCCAGTCTTCACATGATCGTAGCACTTGAGTGTACTTATTTACACCCAGTCTTGTCGTATAGACCACTAGAGGTGGTTCCGACTTGTGTGCAAGGATGCTTGATGAGATATGAATAAGTTGTACAAGTCACTAGAAATGACTCCTGACTTATATGCTAGCATTGATTGATGAGATATGAGTACAGTCGTATAGGTCACGTTAGGTGATTCCAGCTGATGTATCATTTTATATTGATTAAGTTCATTTGGCCTACTTGTTAATGCATTGTAGAGTCTATGGACATGGCATACATGTGGTTTTGGCCATTTTTTTTTTATTAGCGTGGGTGGATATGTTGATATATATATATATGTGTGTGTGTGTGTGTGTAGTACTGTTCTATAGAAAACGATAAGGGATTTACAGTGAAGGGTTATTACTGTTAGAAAGGTAATAGTTTTGGGAAGCTTGGTTTTATTGCTTACTCATACTTTTTGTTTTGTACCCCTTCGGGTTTTAACTGCTGAGTTCGTATCAACAAAGATAATTGTCTAATCTTAGTATTGGTGGCTACATTTAAGGGTATGATTCTTACCCACACTACTGTACCTTATTTATGCTCTGACATCGCGTATGAAATGGGTCCGCTCCCACTCGTAGCAAACTCTGGTATTTAGACACTTTTAGATTCAAATTTATTCACTTTTTATACACTATCAATTTTATGGCTTCGTCACCTTCTAGATGTCGGTCAACACAGCTCGATTTGGGGTCCTAGTGGACATTCCGAGTCGGGGTGTGTCACTATTAATTTATCAATTATTTAATATTTGCTAAATTAATCCATTTTCTTTATTCTCCATGCTAATAATTTATGGAGGTTTAAGTGTATTTGTATGGATTATGCTTCCTAATTATAGTTGGATAGGCTCGATTGGTTAACGTTGGATCTTTTATTTTGTATGGCATAAATTTGAAAAAATATATATATAGTAAAGTAGAGCACAACCCTGGGTTTCAAACTACAAACATCAAGAAATATTACACACTTTATTTCCACCACCCCAACTACTTGTTTTGTTTTTCTTTTGTTTTTTTGTCAACCACTACTTGTTTGTTAAATATGGCTAATTTTTATTTATTTATATTACACATACAGCCCCGCGGGAGATCGAAGGTCCTAGGCAGTTGCCTTATCTGGTTGTCTTTAGGATCGGCCTTGTAGCATTGAAAATGTTTGAACTTATATATTTAAACGGTTAAACTGTATAAGGTTTGAGTCTAAATTTTTTAATATATTAGAAATGGCCTAACATGCATGTCAGCAAATTGAGTTGTTGATCTAGTATATATGAGGGAGATATCAATGTCATATATTGTGACATTAAATGACCAAGAACCCTAACAAAAAGTGAACGCACCAAGGAATACTTATGTTCCATCATTTAATTCACAGCTCAAAGATTTTCAAGAATAATACCTTGATTGATTGACTTGGAAGCTAAATCTCAATTTAGTCCACAAATTGAATGGACTTTCTAATACGAATCTATTACCTATAAATGTCGTGAGCTCCATAGCACATGGTGGTTGGACCGAATTGGAAACCAAATTCATTGTGTCAATTAGCCTTAATAGAGCAATTTATGTTACATACACAACCATGTGTAACTTGCCGACTTGTCGAATGTCGAGTCATGCATACATATATAGTTCTTGGTGCATGTCTAATCATCTGACTCTACTACGCATCTTTAATCTATTCATACGTATCTTTTCCAACTTATAGTATGTACATCACATTAAACTCACTAATCATTTTCAATGTTTCCAAAATAGATCAGCCAGTGCTGATTTGGGCTCTGGTGTTCAAATTGAATTCATGACCCACTGTTTCGAAGAAAATGTTGATGGATATTAAACTCACTGATTTGACGTGATGTATGGTTTTTTTTTTTTTTTTTGGTCAAAAACCATATTTTGTTAAAAATTTTAATTTTAGAGACGCTTATAGTATTTTGTTAATTTTTAAAATATTTTCTATTTAGAATAGGACCTCTAGGACATTAGGTTTGTTATCTTTCATATTATCAATCAGGAAACTTTGAAGTTTTTTTGTGTGGTGTTGTGGGTTCTAATTCTGCAATACATATCTTCATATATATTCCAACTTATAGTACATCGCATTAAACTCACTAATCATTTTCAAAATTTCCAAAAGAAATTATAGACGAAAGAACAGAAGGGAGGAGCCACATCATAGTGCATAAGAACAAATTTAGCATTGATTGTAAAATGGTTTTATTTTTTCAAATTATTTTACTGATGCATTTTTAAATGATAGAATTTACTTTAAACTAAATTGGGACAACTTTTTTTAGTAGGATTATCTCCCCTCCTATTTTCATCACCTTTTCTCCCCTTCAACCATCACACTTTGCTTTTTGTCTTATTGTCTTTATAAAAAAAATCAAAATAAGATGTTGAAGTGGTTTAATTGTAACCGTTCAAGTATAAAGAAAGAGAATGAAAGAGGAGATTAAGAAGGAAGAAAATCTTTCTCCTATCTTTTATTTGAGGATCTGCACCCTGCCCTGCACTCATGTGAGTTCGTACGTAACTCTTTACTCTTCAACAGTTCAACTCAGAGAACTGTGAATTGTACGTAATTCTTTCTTTGTACTTAATTGTATAACTGGAAATTTAACCATCGATGCAGTAATTCTTTCTTTGTAGTGAATTTTTCTTTGTACGTAATTCTACTTACTTTTTAAAGTGCTAACTTAGTCTTAACCCATTTTTCCACTCACCTTCACAAATTGAGATAACACCAATAGGCTTATATCTACTTATACTTTACCATCACTATAAGAATTCTCAACAAAGACGTGAAGATTACGAAGAAAGTTGAGATTCTATCATAAAATCAATTGACAATATATGGGGTAATTCAAATTTATATAAGCACATGCAATGTCCTTTAATTCTCTAATGTGAGATTCACGTTTTCAGTACGCTCCCCCACATCTGGAGTCATTTAAGCCACTACGTTGATAATACATATTGGTTGACGTGAGGACATGTGGGAGCTCAACAAGTGGATTAACCTACTGTCATACTATGAAGAGAGTTAAAGTTCCACTATAAAACTAATGGACAATATAAGAAGTAGCCTCACTACTTATAACAACATGCAAAATCCCTTATTTCTGGTATAAGATTCACACTCTCGATAACCTAGACAAAATTGGTTGTAGGGTTGTTTTAACAATTCACATTTTACAGACCAACCTTTTTAGTAGTATGTATTCATTTTTGTTGGTTAGAATTTCAACAAGGTATGTATTCGACATCTTAAAATTTCAACAAGGTACGTATTTGACGTCCACTTTTTTAACTGCTTTTTATAGATTTATATTTTTTGTCAAACACTATTGAGAAGAAGGTTTCGAACAAAAACCACGGGTACAAGGATAAATACTATCAACTCTTTGAACTACAAGTCCTTTTTATAGAAACACTAAAAAGTATAACCCATATGAAAATTATTTGAACTGTTAATTTCTAATCATTAATTCTTGTAATAGTATATCAACGTACTACATTTCTCATATGTTGATGATTCTTACTTGGGGTAAAATTTATCACAAAGAATTTACCATATACAGATGACATTACATAAAGTGAACTACATTTTATTGTGGTAAAATAAAACAATCCCTCTAACGTTACTCTTCTTAGTTACTAAATAACAAAAGTGATGACATGCCATTGTGACATAAGTAAAATCTATATTCAACCCAAGAAAAAAAGAAAAAAAAGAAAAAAAAAGAGTATAGATAATGGAGTAGTACTGCGCAAATAACCAGCTAAAAGTGTAGACACGTTTAATTTTTGGACTTTTTTTGGTGGGGGAAGGGGAGTTATAGTATATGGAACTAGCTTCCTATAAATTGAGTGATTCCTTTCTGATAAAAAAACTACGAGAGGAGTCGGTGAGTGGGAGACAGTTAGAGAGAGAGAGAGAGAGAGAGAGAGAGAGTGATGGAGATGGATGATCAAGTACTCCCAATTCTTGATTTTTCAGATGGTTTAGTGGTAAAGCAAGGGAGTGAGGAATGGAAAGCTATGAGTAACAAAGTGAGAGAGGCATGTGAGGATTATGGTTGCTTTCTTTTGCTAGTGAAGAATGAGATCCCAATGAGTTTACGTGAAGAAATGGTGACGGCAATGAAAGCTCTGTTTGATCTGCCTGAAGAGACCAAGAAGAAGCACACAAGTCCCAAGCCTTACCAGAGCTACGAAGGCAAGAGCCCCGTCATTCCCTTGAATGAAAGCTTCGGCATCGATGACGCTTGCCGCCTCGACGCAGCTCAGGCCTTCACCAACCTCATGTGGCCTCAAGAAAACCCTGCATTTTGGTGAGATTTTTCTTGCTTTTTAATTAAACTTTGCAATTATAGATAAACATGTTGCTTTGACTTTGATCATAGCTTGCATTAGACTTTTTTTGTGTACATATACATGCATAGCTCTCATCAAGATATATCCAAGGCCAAGTTTTCATTTTGCTTTTGTTTTCCAGGACGTCTGCTAATCTCACTCTCAATTTGTGTTTTGCACTTGAAATTAGTGTTCTATTTATTTCAAAGTACTCACACAAAGAGAGTAAGATGAAAAATGGAGAGCGAGAATAAGTTTTAGTCCCATTTTTCTATCATCTCTAAACTTTCTCTCAGGTCGTATGTACTTTCGTTTGCTAAAAGTTGAAACCGATGAAAGGTCATAGATCGTGCATATGCATGGCTTCAAAGGTTTGAATAGCCATTTGAGGAGTTATAAGTTAATACTAATTGCAACTAAACAGAAGCTTAATCACTACCTGTTTAGGTTAAATTAGAAAATTGTTGTGCTAGCTTAAGGGTTTACTACTGTATATGATTGAGAATCTTTCCTTAATAAGTTGGCTCACATTCAAACGAAGCAAAAGCATTAAAGAGTAGTTTATATATGATGACATTACAACTCCAAAAATTTGACATGACAATGGCTGCTATCCAACAGCCTCGCTACCAGCCAATGCCTCATTTAATAAGGCTTATCCCTTCCAAACAGATTGAATTAAAGGAGTGCCAGCTTTATATGATTGTTATATAGTCCTGGCTATCATGCCTGCACATGCCCTTGTAGAACTCCAGCACAGGGAAAGGGGGAAAGATCATCAGTTTCTTTTGCAATATGTAACTGCTTCATTTAAACCCCCCAGCAGCCAGTTGCACTTTCTCGGATTATATACAATAGTCAACAAATATGTATATAATTTGATTCAATATATATCACACCCATATCACAACAGTCCATATATAATAATAATGGGTTGGTGCATATTCATGACCTTGATAATCCTATGTCACGAGCGAGTTTGTGTGAGAGTAGTACTAGGATGAGTGATCTTTTGAAAAGTCTTTGTGTACTTACCAAAATGGGTAGGTGCGTACTCGTCATTTCTTTTTTACAGATGTGTACTTACCAAAATGGCTACAGTAGTGTTCCCTATTTTGCACCATGTTTAAATCAATCTTCTTCTTCGTAATTTAGATTATTTAAGACTATTGTTATTCAAAATCCAAGGTACATCATGTATATATATGATAGTCATGGATAATAAGTAATGGGTATTGTTATGCACAATTGTATGATTGTACTTACAAGTTAACCTAACCTGATACAATGCACCACATGTCATATACATCTTCCGGCACCCTTATTTCCTTGATTGATTATAATTTCCTAGTGGTTGCCTTTGCACTTATAAACTTCACTGAATGAGAAAACGATATATGTTGTTTTTACCGTTGACTATATATGTGTTTTGTTTTCTTGTGTTGTAGTGAGGCAATGAAATCCATGTGCTCTAAGATGATGGACTTGAATCTCATCATCCTTAGGATGATCTTAGAGAGCTTTGGTTTAGGAAACCACTATGATTCCCATGTCCAAAATACCACCAGTGCTTTTCGTTTCATGAAGTACAAAGCTCCTCCTCCTCCTCCTCCTCCTCCAACTCCAGGCAACATCAACATTAATGCTGACTCGTCATCAACATCACTGTCAGCGTCGCCATCAGCTGCCCTGGGCCTTGTACCTCACACTGACAAAAGCACCCTAACCATTCTGTGCCAAAACGGTGTGCAAGGCCTAGAGATTCTGACCAAACAAGGCAAATGGGTTGAAGTGATGGTCCCGGAGGGAGCTGTTGTGGTTTTTGTTGGGGATGCAATTAAGGCTTGGAGCAATGGGAGGCTTCATGCAGTGACCCACAGGGTTATGATGAGTGGTGACAAAGAGAGGTACTCGTATGCCCTATTCTCCTTGCCAAAAGAGGAGGTGGTGATTGAAGTGCCTCAGGAATTTATAGACAAAGAGCATCCTTTGCTCTACAAGCCATTCAACTTTGGTGCATACTTTACATACTTCACGTCCAATATTCGTGAGGATGCACTCGAATTATTTGCTAGAGTTTGATATTATATCATATAATATCCATGTTATTTGGTTAACAGGATGTGTGTTTTGCAACAAGGTTACTATGTCAATATCTGCTATGTTTTACTTTACTGCAAGACAATAATCATAATATGTATTGGGGCTAAGACTTCAGATATTTGATAAATAGAAAGTATCTTGCATTTTGTTTGGTGGAAAAAAAAAGTTAAACATGTTTGGTTTTGTTAGTTATGATCATTGATGGAACACATATTTCATCAATCAATTCACGTTGTAGTTAACTACACTTAAGAACAAAATATCAACGACATATGGACCACCTGTTGATAATTGCAAGTTAATTAGCAATATCAACAGTATAAATAACAAGTGATTACCACGCGTAGTGCAGAAAAACTTATGTTTCATGACATTTATACATTACTTGAATAATTAATAGGTCTGATATAATGGACTTGTGTAAATTAGGGCATTCACTGAAATGGTACTATAATTAGCTTAGCTTAGTACGTCGTAGGTATGGAGTAGCTTGTATTCTTGCAACTCCTTGAGCATGGCCGGAGCCAAGTTTCAAATTTAGACAGGCTAAATTTTTGAATGGGGTAGGATTGAAACAATAAAAAGTAAAAAATTGTTGGTCAGTTAGTTTTCAGCAATTTTTTCAGAGTCCTCCAAGAAGAGTGCAAAGCTTTTAAGGAGTGCAGCGCGTGTTCCATCAATGTTGGTGTTGAATATAATCTCTAACAATTGACTTGTCGCGCCATATATCTAAGCTTAGTTTTAATTAACCATGAAGATATTTTGTTGTATGTATCATATATAGTTATACTAACTTGATCTTTAATTAAATTTGAACTTCATATCAGATGGGAGAAAAGACATAAACTCAAAGCTGATTGACACATTAGCTGCCTACGAATTATGAAAACTCAAACCCCACCGTATACATCTTTATCTCGTGATGTAATGTGGTACAGACTAAGCTTTGAACTTCAAACCTGTAAATATAAGTCATGTGAACTTATATGTAGTTAAATCAACATCACGGTTTGTAATCATATATAGCTAGCTGAGCCCTGCATTATACTCGCTTTGTTTCAACTTCAGACATGCTTAGTCATGAATCACGATGACAAGACAGATTTCATTGACCCTTAATCGGCTCATTAGTCCATCAAATGTGGTCGTGATTATTGCTCTTCTTCTTAAGTATGCTTTCATAAGGCCAATTTATCGTGAGACACGATTTTGCGTCCAAATCCACAACCACAACTTTTATCGTATTTGGTTAGACAAAAGGGATAGACCAAGTTTATTAGCCTCTGCATTTCTCTCTCGATATTGAGAATTTAAAATTATGATTCTTAGTTTCTTTAGTCTTTGTCACTACCTTAGGTGATGAAGTTGAGGTTTCACCATAAAAGTAATAAACAACATAAGGAGTAGTCCAACCTCTTGAAAGTCCTTGTCATATGCGGAGTAATCCAATTAACCTCTTAGAGCATCTCCAAATGAGATATCAAAATGTCCAAATCAGAAATAACAATAAAAAAAGACAGCTGCAATGTTTTCCAACCGAGAAGTCAAATCTGATGTGGCATGACATGGAATAGCAGCTTTCTCCCTTGCTGTCAAATTTGACAGCAGCGTCAAATATTTTTTTATTAATTTTTTTTATAAAGGCAAGATGCTGCCACAAAGCTGGTACGCTCTCTTGTGTTTGGAGAAACAATAATGTTATTCTTACCATATTTTTATATCATATTTATATACCATATTATGTGACATTTGATGTGAACAGTCACATCATTAAAATTAATCAGAATTTAATTTAAATTAAAAACCATTTAATAAACCAATAATTAAAAAAAAGTTGAAATTAAATTATGATTGTGGCATAGGAGGAGTCTTATCCATCTAGGCACACCAGGTCCATGAGCGACGATGAAGTTTTGTTTTCTCAAAGGAAGATACAAAGGGTTTATGGATCTTGGTTTTGTTTTCTCAGAAGAAGATAAAGATTCAAACTTGGTTTCAATCATTCCTGGGTTGCAAAGGTTGGGAAAGAAGGATGATAGCAGAGATGAGAGTTTTGATGAGTCTGCAAGGCCGTACCTTTCTGAAGCTTGGGAGGTCAGGAAGAAGAGAGAAGCCATTGATGAATTGGAGGTTTTCGGAGAGTGAAATTGACATGAAAGACAATCTCAAATGGTGGGCTCATACTGTTGCTTCTACAGTTAGATGACGAACATTTTGGTTTTAAGAATTTTTGTACTTTGTTCTGGTTTGGATTTTGCTTCAATTTTTTGACACTTTTTGTATACAGTAGATTTATTAGATCAATCAATATTGTTCTACAACTTGTAAATGTGAATAAAAAATAGAAATATTTTCATGATCAGATTATGAATATTTGTGCTTAACTTCCTCTGCATTCTTCTTGAGCTATAAGCTCTGTTGCGGCAGGATAAGATTGAATCTCGGAAGAAATTGGTTTTTGGGATGATGGAGAAGACTCTTCGTATGTCATAATCACTATTTAATTCCAGCTTTTTTATAATTATTGGTTCATTAAATGATTTTTAATTTAAATTAAATTTTGATTAATTTAAATGATACGATGTTCACATCAAATGCCACATATATAATTATGGTATAAAAACATGAAAAGAATAGAATTACTCTTGGAGAAACCATCAACAACAACTCTCTCCTTCTTCCCCAACATCACGACGACGACAATGGCAGTCACAAACAAACGTGCGGCGGAGGAAGAAGCAGAAGTAGCAGCAAATCGAGAACCCCATTTCTCCCATTCCTCCCAACCGAAGAGATTGTCACTGACACTTACAGACTTGTCACCATAGCCAGAGACATGGGCATGGACCCCATCTCTCACCCACATCATTCTCTCCTTCCCGCCTTCGCCGCCGTCCTCCTCCTCATCCCCCTATACAGCATCGCCGTCCTTATTTCCATCGTCGTGATCCTCATCGTCGCTGTCGTCAAAGTCTTTACCATACGACGCGGTTCCCCTCCCCTTCCCCTGTCTCTCCGCCGCCCCAATTTCCCATCTTCGCTGATTTGTCAAGCTCTCCAAATGCCTTTTCAATCTGGTTTTTGTGCACTCCAATTGCAAACCTAGTGAGGCAAATAACGTTGGCAGTCAAAGCAATTGGAATTGCAGCTCAATGTCGCTGTTTTCGCGGCTCACCGGTGACAGAATTGATACAATGGAAGGGTTTTCCCGGGCTTTGGCGGGACTGGGATGCAAGGGTTCTCCGCGGATTCATGAAAGAATCCGAGTTCCTCCAAGCTCTTCATTTCAAACCCAGAAAATAATATTTTAATAAAATAAAAAGAAAAGAAAATAGTGTAATAAAATAATATTTAATTTGATATACGGGTAGGTGGAGAGAAAAATTTTGAAAGATGTCAAAATACCATATAGGCTGTCAAATTCAAATTTTATGTTTAAAATTTGACATCTTTTTTTGGAGATACTCTTATAAATCCTTACAATGTTTTTCCTTTCACGAACGTGAGACTCTTATTACCTTCACATTTTCACATTATGGTGGAAACCAATGTTGTGAAAGAATAAAAAAGGAAAAAAAGAAGTTGGTTGTATTTTCTGTTCATGCTTAGTCTAGGATGGTTGTGAACTGCAGAACTAAAGGTGGTGCTTAGTTTGACAAATATTAGCTACTTATGCTTGGTTTAGGATGAACTAGAAAATACGTCCAGAGCGTTGCTACGGGAACTAGCTGTTTTAGGCGTAGTCGGATGAATAAAACACATTTAAGTTGAATAAATTCAACACAATTATGAACAAATAGAGGGATACATGAGTGAATGAGGTCGATAAGATAAACAGTTTTGCTTTTATACACATTTAAGTGAGCTGGCATATAAATACATTGTACAATGAGTGGAAAGAAACTGAATGTCTTTGATTAGAAAGAGAAGAAATTGAAGAAAATTACTTAATAAATTTGGATATAAAGGAAAATTAAATTTATTCAATTTCAATATAAAGAAAATTACTTAATGCAGGAACAAGTCAGAAGGAAGCAACCATGTTTATATGCTGTAGTTCGGATAACAGAATTATAGGTTCATAACAGTCCATATAAACTTCGACAAACCAATATGGCATGACATGAAAAATGAGTTGATTACATAAAGTTTTATTCTACCTTGTGCCAAAGAGTTTATGCTAGCATGCCCTCTTATGTTTAAGGAGCAATTGAAAGAAAATAGTTCATGAACGTTGCGCTTCTGCTGGAAGCGTAATGCATCGAACGGATTTGATTTCACAGTAGTAACATCAAAAAAATCAAATAACGTAATGGAAGAAAAACAAAATTTAATAAGCATACACCTATCCATTTTCTTTTGTGAACAAAATTTGTTATTTGCACCTAATTTAAGGTCATGCTTGTTTAGATATACAATCATAGCAAATAGAAAGACTCAATCCATTGCTAACACCAGCAACCATAATTTCCTACTAAAAACAACACAGCTCAATAGATTTCTTAGGAATTAGGATGCCTAAGGCAGTGATTTAATCTCTTGAAAATCAAATCATAGTTACAAAGCGATTTACTTCAAGCGATCAACATATCAAACTCAGTCCAAGTTCACCAGCCGCATTCAGACATATACTTGAAATAATTTATTAGTACAATATAAACTTTTATTTTGACCAAGAAAAAAGACAATTCATGGATATATTTCACTACTCAAATCACGAAATCGAATGCAATAACAATTCTTGGAATAGGGGATCCTTCAATGTTATGAAACATCCACACTGATCTTAAAACTACAAATGTAAGCACCGAACTCTGTAAAGAAATCATCTCTGATACAACATTTGCATATCTGCCTCTTATCCCCTTCACATATATACTAAACCATTTTTGTGCACTACAAATTCGAGAAAGAATCAAGTCGGCCTTTGCCATGCAAATGGTTTGTTCCACTTCTTTTCTCCAGTTCCCAAAACCATGGATACGACTGTAATAAAACATACATGGCCCTCACACAGTGCAGCCCCCTAGCAATCTAACAAAGAGAGATTTATGTCAAAAGAGAAAAAGAAAAAGAGCTTTAAATGCGAGTTGTTTGGTGTGGTTTTTGTTCTCTCTTCTTTTACGGACTAAGCATACACCTATCC